CAATGAATAGTTTAAACCTCATAGATAATTAATCATTACGATGTCACAAACCTGCTTATATCAATATTTTCCTTCACAGATAACATTTTCTTCAGTTGGGAATAATACGATCATAGTAACGAATATTTAGCACTTTAGACCGTTCCGTAATATAAGCCAAAATTATTCTTTCGTCTACTCCTTTTGTTTGCTTTCGCTTCCTCCTGTTACGTTAAATGGGTGAATAAAATCGGCGTGGGTAAAACTCAACAATTTATTTCTTAATGACCCGGATTTACACGACTAACTATAAAGCAATTACCTTATGTACAAACTAATTCGCTGAACTCGTGATTCGACTGAATAATCTCGTTCCCGAAGGTGGCCTCCATTTAAACCCACATTCCGTTTTCGATGTTTCACAATCGAGATCTTTCTCGAATCCATCGCGACTTCCGCTTGCAGGCCTTTCTTTAGCGAACGCCGCTTCGACTGGCCGATGAATCATACTACATACTAAAAGAGCGATAGGCGTCGTACCGGCGTCTCCCGCCTGGAACCCTACTAAGTTGTGGCTAAGATCGTAACATGTCTTCATTCTACCATTCGCCACTCCATTCTTGAGGCCCAGCATTTCGTGAACGCTCGGCAGCTTCTCCTTATTCGTTTCCTTGTTCCGTTCTTCGGTCACTGGGAGGGAACCCGCTACGTCTCCTGCAGTTCTTCTAAAAGGCGAACCGACGTTGTCTGATTGCATCGGTCCTTTAACCGCCGCACAGGTCCTACACTTCTTGCACCAGCTCTAGATGTCTTGTCGGCAACGGACCCAGTAGAATCTCTCCCTAATTTTTGAAAGCGTGTTGTTGATACCAAAATGAGCACCAAAACTCCCTTTGGGCATCTCCCGAAGTACTTCCTTGATTCTGGTGGCTGGAAACCCCAACTGCATACTGACATGCCTTCCGTCCGGACGCTTCCCGGCTCGCTTAAGCAATCCGTTCTCGAGATGCAAGGAGTCCCATTAAGCGCATAATGCTTCGAAAGAAGGTGACCCGTCTGATGCTTCCGACCACCTAGGTCGGTCTATCTTATCTTCTTTCCATCTGAGGAGCGGCTCAATATCCCTTTCTTCCTCCTGGCTCTTTCTACACCGAGTTGGAGTCCATTCAACATCTTCTACAACTGCTTTCTTCTTGCGGTTGAATCGTGCTTTCGCCTGCTCAACCTCATCGCAATGTTTGCAGTTCTGATAAGCGATCAGTCTTGCAGGCTTCGCTCCAATACAACGCTGATTCAGCTTGAACTCTTGATTTCCAATACGTAGGACTTCGCTCACTGGATCAAAATGAAGTCATATTTCATTCTAGCCAGCCACGAGAGCCCGATGTCTTATTCTCAGCTGACCAATACAGATTTCTAGCGATGCTTCACACATGATTGGCGTCGACTCTCCAGTTACAGTTTTCGTTCTGATCGTTTCAGGTATAGGTTCTACCTCAGCGCCAGTATCGATGGTGATTGCTGCTGGATTTTCATAAATCTTCCCCGGTATCGTGGTACTACTACCGCTGGTGAAACTTCTTATTTTCACTTTGCTAGCGGCCTTATTCTCACCAGTGAACCCATTCCTCAGAACACCGGCTCCTTTTACATCTCGGTGAGACCTCTGTTGTGTGCTTTTTCTTGAAATTGTTAATCCAGTACCACAATCACGTTTCAGATGTCCCTGGCACCCATTCCTACAGCGTGCCATGCTTTGTTTACGAGCTACATCATTCTTCTGTCTTCGGAAAAGGGCATCTATTTGCTGCAACTTTGTATCATGTTCTTGAAGAACTGCACGCTGCCTCCACCTCCAGCGCACGAATCAAGGCATCAGATGATGTCTGATACCTTGATAGTTGTAGGACCTTGTTAACTTCAATGTCGCGAATTCCATCTACAAAGATTTCTATAGCAAGCCTATCTTGAAAAGATGGTAGTGCGTCGGAGTATGCAAGACGTACCAGTCTCTTGACATCTGCTTCTTGAAGGGACTCTACAACTTTGTGGGTTCTTGTCTTCATTTGGGCTGCAAAAACCTGTCTCAGATGTTCATCCCCAAATCCAAGTTCTAGAGCAGCAGTTAGGGCAATGTATCTGTTTCTATCTTCTTCGGAGAGAGTTTGCAGTATCTCTAGTGCTGCACCTCGAGACGCTATTACCAAGGCTCCCCTCACAAAAATTCGTATACTCTTTTTCATACGAATGCTTGGATTTTGCTGGCACCACTTTATTGATAGCCTCCAAAGCTTCGTCCAGGACTGCTGAGGCTCCAAAAACTTCGTTTTCATCTTCACCCTCCAAAATTCCAGACATTTTTATCTAGCAAAAACACAAATTTTCGGTTGGAGATGTTATGATTCGAATTTTTATTTATTACTTGAAATTTTATTCATAAAATTCGTCAAAATTGAATAAAAACATATATGCGCCGACTAAATTCAACGTAAGTACTTATTCACTCAAAGAGTTGATCTCATTCGCACTGTGTGCTCGTGATGTCAACATCTTGTGGTGAATAAACGTATGTTTAATTAACTTGTTCTATAATATTTATTAAACATCATCTATCAGTATTTGAGTCTTCGAAAGATCTATCGGCTAATCTTTCGTTAAATAGCGTTCGTAAGAAAATAAAAGAATTATTGTTGCCTTTCGATTAATGCATATTTTTCATCAATCTAGTTATTATTGCTTCACTTAATTTAATTTTTTTGGAATTGTGGTGGCACAATAATACGTAGTAGAAAGCGAGGAAAGATAAGCTTCTCTGTAGTCTAGTGGTAAGGGCGCCCGGCAAGCGGTAAACGTGCGGTTCGATTCCCACGGGAAATGCAACATTTGTCTTCGCTTACCTACAGAATCTAAACATTTTTTTTAATATTTGTCTTGCATTTTTTTCAATTTTGTTCTTTTCAATGCAAAATAAAAGCCTATTATCATTATTATTACTATTAATGTTATTACATTCTACAGTCCAGTACCGAACGCGAATGAAAGATTTAACACAAATCTAGCAAAGAATAATGAAAACTTGTAATACGTGTTCGTTTCCCGAAATTACTCAATTACGTAGAAATAAATTATGTATGTCATAATGCACTGTCATTTACTTAATTTATTCGAGTTTACCTCTGAACGGCGATGCATTTTGGGAACATTACCGTTATTTCAGTTATTACTCTTCATAACAAGGCAACCACTGTCATATTTTTTCATTATCGCACTACCTCTGCAATGAGCAGCAACCGAAACGCTCAATACTCTGTCTCTTAAAATGCATTTTACATATTTTCCGCGCTCCAAAGCCCCCACAATGCAACAAAGTATTTAGTCTTCCGAAAACCCCTTTTTCGACGATTTCTTTCATAAGCTGCCTCACACTCATTTCAGCCGGCTTTAGCCGTAAGCGAGCCTGGGGAAATGAAACGTTTTTGCATCAGAATTTCCGTCTAAAATAGCGTTAATCATATTATTTTAAGTGCACTTTACTCCAGCTTCCTTTTACCTACTTTTTATTACTGACGACATGCTTCTCATTCTTCTTTTTGTCGTTTAATTAATGCCATTATAGTCTCGCGTTACTCATGCGACGATTTTATGGTGGAAATTTTTAACTACCAACATAAATAATTAAAAGCTGACAAAAATATAGCCTTTTTTGCTAGTTATTCGTCTGGGAGAGATATGTTTCGCACTTGCTTAATCACTAGCGATAAAAATGGCTGTTTATATTGATAATAACACTGCTGGTATTATGTAACGCTATATATCTGCCTTTAAACTAACAGAATTTCAAACTTAGTTGAACGAGTAACTGTAGAAAAAATTCGTCTAAAGTTATTTAGACAGAACTTACCTTCCACCTGAAGGCAAACGTTCAAATAAATTCAATTCAGGTTGTTCAATTTCAATGCTAATCAGTATTTTTGTAAAGTGGTTATGATTAAAAATCAAGGCAGATTCATAAACCACAAGTATAAGATTAGTATTTACCAAACTAAACGTAATAAACAAGAAACTTTATACAATTTATCTTACGTATTTTGTATTTTACTTCGACAATATCAATCAGAAAATTTTCTATTCAATAGAACAACAAAAACTGATCCCTTTAGCGTTTTTCTTAGTTTTCATCTATAAATTTTGCATCAATATTTGTATGAGCATGAGTAAACACACCGTATATAAACGAACAAACAATCTTATATTTTACGTAAACAACCGCTCAATGCAATTTTGGAATGAGAAATTACACTGACTAACCCCCGTCTAGCTATTTCCTCCACAATATTCGTGGAAACTTTCACCGCGAAATCAACTCCCTTCTTTGCTAATTAAAAATTCCACCCTTTCACACCCTGCAGAAAGTCACACTGTGGTTTCCATGTACAATCTATGGCGGCATTCTTGATGTATACAGTACCCTTTTGATTTATTACCTCCGTCATACATACAGCGACGTGAAACGTGCAGGGGGCGGCTAATTTCAACCCTCATCACCGTGATTATCATGTTTTATTTTTAACTTGCTTTGTTATAATTAAAATTTATTAATGTGGCAGCAATTTATCAATCCGTGCCGATTCGGTGGCAAAAATCACTCATTTCACGCAAGGGTAGTGTAATTGCTGTTGAAAAACCGGAAAATAATGTTTGTGTAGCGATTTGTTGTGACGTGAAATGATGAAATACAACGAAAATATTTTAATGGTCTTTTTCTAAATCACATCATCGCCCAAACACAAATAAAAATTGGCACCGGCACTGAGGAGCGCTGAGTGAGCGCTATTATGATAGTTGTTTGTGTAACGAGTGTAAAAAGTGGGTAATTTTTCACGCGGCGGCAAATCTGTCGCGTCAGGGTCAAGATGGCAACACCCCAAAAATAAAACAACTGGTTTTATACTAATATATCTATGACAGAAAAAATAAAAGAGATCAATTTAGAAAAAAGAACAAAGAAAGAACAGACTTACCGATTGTGGTTATGACGGTCAAGGAATACAAGAAAGCTCCAGCGAATGACCATTTCTCCGAGTAGATTTCTCCATCGTATCCACGTTGGATGAACTTGACCATCATTTTCTGGTAAACTTTGAGTTCGTCCCGAATCTGGTTCTTGTACTCGGCTTCGGCAAAATTGTTTAATTGCAAAGTTTTATTCCAGAATTTTGAGACGGTTTCGTTGCGAATTCGGATAACGTCTAGTCTTACTTGCATTTGATGTCTTTTTTCAACGAAGCGGAATATGAATGCCCCGGCTACAGTGTAACTAACCTGGAAAAAATTATGGATTACTATATTTACGAGTTTTATCAAATAAAAGAATATCAGAAAATATAACACATTTAAAGAAAATCGAAACAGTTAGATGTCTATTACAAAACTTGATTATAATTTCACTTTGTCTGCATATACCAACACATCCAATTTAATTGAAATTTTGAGTACGTAACAAATTTTGAAAAATTTCTTGTTCTAAATTGTGTTGAAAATTATATTTTGTCCATGTACAGGGTGATTTCGAAATGTGTGCAATAAAAAAAGTGGGGAATAACTCACAATAAGATTTATTGCATTGTGTAAAGTTCACGTTCCTAAATGATATCAATGTCTAGAAAAAATATCTGAAATTAAATATACATGGTTATACCCACTTGCAGTGTTTCTTGATCCACCATAACTACTATTCAATGAATTGGATTAGGAACCAAAAAAGCGACGCACTGATAAGCAACGTGCAAAAACATGATAAGGGTGAGTCATGTATCAGTTGGACCTTACTACTCGAGTTTTTAAACAATGTGTTGGAGGAGCAGCTAGATATGAAAGTGTCTTTAGGTGAACGAGTTCGCATGTAGTACTTGCATGATAAAGCACCACTACACTTTTCTAGATCAGTAAATGAATGATTAAATAACCCTTTTCCTAACCAGTGAGTCGGTAGAAACGGACCAATAGCTTGCCATCCGCGTTCACCCCATCTCAATCCGTATGATTTTTATCTTGTCTTTTCATCAAACAGTTAGTTTATGGGAATCAACAGTGTCCAGAAACTATCGAAGAACTTCAAAAACGAGTGGAAGTAGTAGCTGCTACAATTTGTGGAACTCCCGGAATGTTTTTACGTATCCGTGCAAACATGTTGAACCTTGTATTGCTAGTCAATGACAGCATTTTCAACATTTATTGTGAAAAGGTAATAGCATTCTAAATTGCTCTGTGTTCTAATAAACAATATGGAACTGTTATGGCACGGACCAAACGTCCGTCAGAATAAAAACATTATCACGAAGCATTACCAAAAATTGGTCCTTCTCAGGACCACCATTTGTTTCTACAGCTAAAAGACGGATTAGTGGCATCGCATCGAGGGCGGTACATAGGGGGTTTGCCCTATTTGACATTTCTATATTTGTTTTTTCTATATTTCCACATTACTAAGGTACGTGATGCCTTGCTTACAATTATTGCATATATTTCGAAATCACCCTGTATGACTTGTCTTAATTGCCACAGATCTACAATATTTGTAGTTTGTTTAACATTCAAAAAAATGGTATTTTTGTAACATATGAATACTTTAAAAGATTTAGTAACTCTATAAGGCGTCTCACAAATAAATTTCTTAATTTTAGTAACGTTTTTGTCGTGAAGCTAACAGAAGAGTATTGTAAAAGCGTCCATCCGGCGTCATCCAAAAATTTTGCATGGTAAATACAATTTACATTTTAAGAAGTAACTAATTTCTGTACTTGTGATTTATAAATCCGACTTGGTTTTTTACCCTAGGCAAACAAATTTTAGCAAAAACTCCAAATTATATAAGAGGGTCTTACAAGTATCAGAGGAACACAATGAATAGGTCGTACAACTCAGGTGGTTTGAGTGTTGTGCTTTATTTTTTCTTACACTGTGACTGATATTAATTTTTTTTTTTTCTAAAACACTGGATTTGTTTGATTATACTTCAGAGCTGAGTAAGGAAAACTCTATCTAATAACACATAACGATATTTTTCTATGTTATTAAATATTGTGCAGGGCAAAATTAAATTATTACAAGACACCGATCAGGTACCTATATTAATTAATGAGAAAAAAATTGATGGGGTACTTGGAACATAAATAGACTACACAATTTTTGGAAAAACATTTTTTAAATCAAAATAAGCACAAATTATTTTAAAACACAAGCAAAATTTGGTATTAACATATCCTCCTAGAAATCCATACTTCGTTTATGACCGTTACTAGAAAAGTTGAAAAATGTTTACTACATATTTCAAAATTCCAGCGAAAATGTATTGTTTATTGTTTGTATATTTAGAAGAGACGTGGATTTACAAGAATGTCATTCGTTAAATGGTACATGAAATCAATTTGAAAAGTATCCCAATTAAAATTACCAGAATTTTCCTGTCAGGCATTACATAACCTCAATTTTTTTTTATAGACCTTAGTCTATAATTATTATCAATCTTAACCACATGTGAACAAGTATGATTGTTAGTTCTAGGCTACTAGTGAAAGAAAAAAAAATAACGAAGCTGTAGTGTCCTAATGTACCGACATGTACGGCCGGGAATGCAGATTGGCATTGAAAAGTGACAGGTGGAAAATGTAGAAACACACTTGTAATAGTACGTTAATAAATACACGTTGTTCTCCGATTCAATTCACATTTATTAACACAACATTGACGACGAGGAAAAGGGTAAAGAAGATGAATGCCGACAAGACGGGTGTCAAAACGTTCGACCCGACGGGGGAGGAATCGGAAACAGCACAGAAATGGGACCGATGGCTACGATCGTTCGAGCTATTTCTGGAGGCAAGTGCGATTCAAAATGAAAAAAGAAAACGGGCGTTATTACTCCACCATCCCGGGGAAGGTGTACAAGAGGTCTGGTATACGCTTCCAGAATCGAAAACGGAGGATGAGCCGCAAGCACGACTGTATGATATCTGCAAAACAGCACTAACCGCAATTGTTCAGCCAAAAAAGAACTATACGTACGAAAGGCACGTGTTTCGGTCATTAAGCCAGAAAGAAGGCGAAACCATTATCCAGTTCGTCACCCGCTTAAAGGCGCAGAGTGCCAACTGCAACTTCAGAAACAACGCAGACGACATGATCATCGACCAACTAATCGAGAAATGCACTTCAAATGATCTGCGAAGGCAACTACTAAAGGAAGGCGACAGTTTAACCGTAGATCGAACCAAGGAGCTGGGAAGAATCTTCGAAGCCTCCGAGAAACAAGCCGGGCGAATGGAAGCCGGAAGTCAAGACATCCGAAGAGTAGAAAAGAAAATGAACACGAAGCGTCCACCCAAAGAGTTCAAATGTTACAGATGCGACGAGGAAGGTCACAGAGCGAGTGATGAGAAGTGTCCTGCAAGGAATAAAACATGCAACAAATGTGGGCTGATAGGACATCTGGGGAAATGCTGCAGAACAAAGAAGAAAACGACTGAACAAGGGAAAAAATCCGAAACGTCGAAACTGGAGATCTGGAAGACAACGAGTATGCTTTCCAAGTACAAGACGAAGACAGCGACCTAGACAGTATACAAGTTTTAGTCGGAGGGGCCAAGGCAAGATTTCTTATCGATTCAGGTGCAACATGCAGCGTAATAGACAAGAAGAGTTGGGAAAACCTGAAAGCAAGTAAGATAAAAGCCAGACACGAAGAAATTATACTCGTATGGGAGACAAGCACCATTGAAGACATTGGGTACGTTCCACACCACCGTAGAACTAGAAAATGGAAGGAAGCTAGACTCGATCAAGTTCTACGTCGTTGATGTCAAGGCTACACCAATGATCGGAAAGAGCACTGCTAGGACGTTGGGCATCCTGCGAACAGGACTCCCGCTACGAAACGTCAGCAGCATAGAGGTCCGTTCCATCGAATCGCTAAGCAAAAAATTTCCTAACGCGATGGGCGAAGGAATCGGGAAACTCCATGATTACTCCTTGAAAATCGCTATTGATGAAAAAATTCCACCGTTGGTTGGCACAGACTGGCAGAAGAATACCGTTCCAGCTACGACCTTTGGTAAAGGAAAAACTGAGGGAGCTAATAGAAAGCGATATAATTGAGAAGGTCAACGAACCGGCGCGATGGGTATCACCAGTAGTTTGTACAACAAAGAAAAATGAAGAAATACGCATGTGTGTCGACATGAGGGCAGCAAACGAAGCCATAATCCGAGAACGTCATCCAATTCCAACAATCAACGATTTGATTCTGAGCTTAAATGGAAGCAAATGGTTTTCAGAAATTGACTTAAAATCAGCTTTTCATCAAATCGAATTAGAAGAGAGTAGCAGAGAAATCACAACATTCGCTACATGCGATGGGCTTTACCGATTCAAGAGACTATTTTTTGGCATAAACTGTGCACCCGAGATATTCCAACGCATCATGGAACAACTTGCTGAAGACCTACACGGTGTAGAAATATATGTAGATGACTTCTTGGTCCATGGGAGAACTCTAGAAGAACATAATAGAAATTTACTCGAACTACTCAAACGACTTGAGAATTCTGGCATAACAGTGAACAAAGACAAGTGCAAGATAGCACAGAAGAAATTAGAATTTATGGGCCATGAGATCAGCGAAGAAGGTGTACGACCGCTAAGAAGCCGAATCGAAACAATCAAAAACTTTCGGGCTCCGAAAACAAAAACCGAGCTAAGCAGTTACTGCGTTAACTGCTCCGCTTAGGAAACTGATTAGAAAAGACGTACAGTTCCAATGGAGAAGAGAACAAAGCAAGGCGTTTGAACGACTTAAAGGGGAACTAATGAAGAGTAAAACCCTGGGATTCTTCTATCCACGTTGTAAATCAACGATCATAGCTGATGCAAGTTCGTATGGCTTAGGTGCAGTTCTCGTCCAAATGCAGAATGGGGGGGAGAAGATCATTGAATACCCAAGTCGAGCCTTAACAGACGCAGAAAAGAAGTACAGCCAAACTGAAAAAGAGGCCCTAAGTCTAGTATGGGCATGTGAAAGATTTCACCTGTACGTATACGGCGCTGAATTTGATATAATTACAAACCACAAGCCGTTAGAATTCATATTCTCACCCAGATCAAAGCCTTGTGCACGAGTAGAAAGATGGGTCATGAGGCTTGTGGGATATAACTTCAACGTTATATACCAACCAGGCAAGAAAAATATTGCAGACCCATTGTCCAGGCTAACTGACACGAATACAAAATCAAACATCGCCGATGATGAACATCACGTCCAATGGGTCGCGAAGGAAGCAGTTCCATATTCAATGAGCATTGAAGAGATCCGAGAAAAATTCACGGAGATGCAAGACCTTAGAGATGCGATCCGAGAAGATAAATGTCCAGTGAGACTGCGGAAATACGAACTGATCAAAACAGAACTATGTATTATTGACGACATTGTGCTTAGAAGCACAAGAATATTAATTCCGCCTTCATTACGGCAAAGAGTCTTAAAATTAGCCCATGAAGGTCATCAGGGAATCGTCAAAATGAAACAACGACTGAGAACTAAAGTTTGGTGGTTTGGCATGGAAAAAGACGTCGAGACATTCTGCAAGCATTGCCACGGATGCCAACTAGTGAGCGCTGCGCAACCACCAGAACCACTGACCATGACGAGACTCCCGGGAGGTCCCTGGAAAATGGTTGCAATGGACTTCCTAGGACCACTTCAAGGAGATACATACACTTTTTTCGTTATAGACTATTATAGCCGCTTCTACGAAGCAAGAGTCATAAAATCCATCAGTGCACGGAAGACCATTGAAGAATTGGAGGAAATATTTTCAAGATTTGGCCTCCCAGAGAACATCATTGCAGATAATGGAACTCAATTTACAAGCCTACTGTTTGCAAAACGGCATCACGCTCAGAATAAACACCCCGAAATGGCCTCAAGCAAACGGAGAAGTCGAGTGACAAAATAAATCCTTGCTGAAAAGACTTCGAATAGCGCAAGCTTCAGGAGAAAACATCATCAGAGCCTTAAGACAATACTTGTTTGCGTACCACACGACACCACATTGCGTAACGGGGAAAACACTAGCATATCTCATGTTCGGGAGGGAACTCCGAGATAAACTACCTAGTTACCAGAACAATTTCTTCAAGCCAATTACCGACACCGAGGTGCGAGATCAAGACTTGGAGAAGAAAGAAGCGAACAAATCATATGCTGACACGCACAGACGAAGCAGGCCGTCTGAAGTTGAAATCGGAGATGAAGTACTACTGAGAAGAGACGTTACTTCCAACAAACTAGAGACACCGTATCTCCCGCAACCTGGTAGAGTGGCGAATAAACTGGGCAACTCCGTGACTATCGAAACACCTGATGGGCGTAAAGTACACAGGAACACATCCCGTGTGAAGCCCTACAACAAGGAACGAGAAGGAGAAAACCCAATCCAGCCTTCAGTGGAAGATATCCAACAAGAACGACAAGAACCAACGGAGAGGCGTTCCGCGAGACAAAGGCAACCGCCTCCGTGGACCAAAAATTTTGTTTGCTAATTATAATTTTGTATCTTTTCATTTTGTTAAAAAAAAGGGGGAATGATGTAGTGTCCTAACGTACCGACATGTACGGCCGGGAATGCAGATTGGCATTGACAAGTGACAGGTGGAAAATGTAGAAACACACTTGTAATAGTACGTTAATAAATACACGTTGTTCTTCGACTCAATTCGCATTTATTAACACAACAGAAGCTTATCGTAATGTCTTTGCCATTTCTATTAAAGCACCATCTGTTGATTTTGCTTAAAATTTAGCAATTGGTAACAGCTTTCGGTTGATTGACAACGGCTTTTAGTTAGAAAATTGTTTGAATATGAACGTTGCCAAATTGACGATTAACAAGTGGTGTTTCAATAGAAATGGCAAAGACTATACCATCCAACACAGAAAATCTAACCTTGGCAACGTAGCTTCTACATTTGTCACATCGGATGAATGAATCATAACCTCACTTTTAAAACCGTTTTCAAACTAAAAATAGTTAATATTTTTCCCATACCTTCCACCAAAATCGCCTTGGTTTTAATAAGAACGCGGACATTTTTCTGGCTGATGAAATATTGTAGCAAAATATTTTCCTAATTCATACGACGTGCTGTGATTATGTGAAGATAATGATAAATTAATTCACCTATACAGGGCCGAAAGCTACTAAGCTACTAAATCTGCTACTGTACGATGCTGAAACATATTGTTTCTTAAATGACCTGTTTAGAAAATCTCCTATTTAAATTCTCAGGAATTTCGGAAACTACTTTATGGTCTTGCACACGGTTTCTACGGCAAACCAATCTTTGTTAGCATAAGGAGACGGGTTCTATAACGTTTAGTATTCCGTACTGATTTGCTCGCAAACTGGCCGCCTCTGCACATGTGATTTCCTGTGTCAGCAGCGGTGACCTACCACAAAGAATTACCCGAACAATTAAAAATTTGTCAATGAGTACTAAGATAATAAAATGTTGCATTTTTTTATTTTAAATATACATTTCCAAAGGTTTTGGGACCCCTTCAGCTTTAATGCCCAAGGCCAGTGCCTAGTGTGCCTTATTATAAATCCAAAGCTGAATAAATCGACCCTATACTTCAGTGTGTGGACAAAGTCACCGTAAAGAACATCAACATTTTGAAATTTGTGAAAAGATTGTTTAGTTTCACAGACCCCTTCTCCACGTTTATTTTGATATTCATTACGAATTGTGTTCACAGGTGAAAACCATTTTGAATGGAATTTCCTAATAAACTCAAAACACTCGCTATAATTGAAAATAACAAAGACAGTACAGAAAGTGTTGCATGACTGAAGCTGCGCCACACGCTTTTGATGTTTTAGTTCGTCACGGTCGCCCTCGGTTAACTTTTTTTGTCGTATGGTACGACCAGTGACCACAGTATTACTGGTTGCCTAGGACACACTACACGAGTTCTCCTCACGCTTCGTTTTCTCGGCGCGGAAAGTAATAATTGTTCATTAGTTATAAATAAAATAAGAAAGAGAAGCTGCAGAAATAAACGTCATTGTTCTAATAATTGAACAAATCGTGGAAAAAAAGATGCATATTAAAAGTGGAAATAAATAAATAAATAAATAAATAAATAAATAAATAAAACAAAAAATCAAAGAATAATCAATGGTTAACGAAAATGTAGATCTAGGGTACACTGCCACGCAAAATTAAACAAGTTCAAATAAATAACATTTTATTTAGTCTGCTTAATCAGACTCGACACACAACTGGAAAATTTATAACGAATCCCAACACATTTATTTCTTAGGAAAGTTAGATTGATGTTATTTTAATTCTTTACGTACACGCACGAATGAATCTTGAATATTTCAAATTAAGGGAGCTGCAAAATAGATGCCGCTTGGCTTCAATATATCCTGCCGTAGATATTTATTATCTTTCTCCTTTAATAAAACGCTAAATACCGTTATCGGAAAATTTAAACCTCCACTGTTTGAAAGCCCGCAGAACACTGACACATAAAAATAAACAGAGTTCGGCATAAAATTCATCGGGTATTTATGCAGAAAAGCTTCCAGAGATTTATTTATAGATAACTACACTGATTGTCTGTATTTCACACTACTAGTAGGGGTTTGCGTTTTGCGGTACGGAACGGGTCAAAGTCCCGGCGTAGTGATAAAGTGAGTTAAGCAACGCTACCTAGAGTCACGATGGGTGACCAACTAGGCTGCAGGACTCGGTGCAAAAAATGGCTAATAGTACGATCTACAATATGACAATTATTTACCTTCAAAACAAATGAAAAACGCCGTAGACAGACAGATTATAGATTTCACGTGCAACTCCACGTTTGTATAAAAAATTCAGCCAAAAAGGAAACCAAAAATCTCTATATCCCTCAGTACACAAACCCAATCAAACAAATCCCTTTTCCGTTTGACCTTCCCATTAAAAATCTCCCACACGTCACAACATTTTGATGAGGGTCTACACTCCGGAAAAAATACTCACCACAAGTCCTATGATTCCGACATTACTAAACAGAAAAGCGATAAATTGCCTGCATAAATCTTTGCACTTTTTTGCGAAAGGTCTCTCATATCTTCGGTGTCGTCTGACAGACCTCTTGCGTTCCATTTTATAGACTTCCGGACATAGTTCGCTTGTGTCATCTTCTCAACCGCTCGTTCGCCGCCATTCTGCTGAAACGAAAACATATTTGATGTAATGTCGCAGGATAAACAGCACAGATTAAATGTAAATAATTGCACAGAAAGTTTATGCAATGAATAATAATTAATTGCAGAAAGGATAATGAGTTTGGCCGTGGTGGAGTTTTCACATGGTGGAGTCGCCACATTCATTAGAACTACGGGAAAAGTGGAGTGTACTCAGGATATTTACGTCCTGCATTAAGTTAAGTCCACACACTGGTAAATCCGGTAAAAATTGGTTAGTCGAGAGAGGTTAGCTTAAAGTCTTGGGTGTTGGGTAGGCGTAAAAAATGGTTAAAATGTAGTCCAGAAACATTCAGTGATTTCGCCCCAACCCACAAATTGACTCCAATTGCCCTGGTTCATTTTTGTCAATTTTAAACGAACTGTATTTTGCTTGTTTTACACCAATTATACTAAATAAAGTTAAATAATAAACATATCTCTCGGATTGGTAAATATAGGTACAGATATATTGTGAATATAAAATCTTTAATTAATGAGTAATGACATTTACAATAGTTTCACAAAAAAACAAATGTTCATAATAAAATAATATGTAATATGTACTAACATTATATTTATATAATACACAAATAAATATTAATCAGTGAACAATAAATTATAAACCATACCTGAATATGTGTTGTTTGGCGGAAACACCAATAATTCAACTAAACACACACAATAACATAATATATATACCCAAAAATCAATTTGTTCGTATAAAATAATGAATAAGTGTGAACACTGGTCTGATTTAAAAATGGACTTTTACCAGATTTGCCACTCTTCGACCCATAAACCACAAAATCCCGGTAAACTAATCCCACTTAAAATAAATCAAGCCACAAATTGAAGTTGGCCAAACTTGCCCGGCGCATCCACCATTTATACCTCTGCACTTTCTTCCGAATTACTCTTAAGATAATTTAGTAGATACGCCTAATTTACGATGTTCATTTAACCTTTGATTCGGCAAAATTTTATAGCATTCCGTTGAAAACTCCCAATTTTATAGCGGTTCTAAAAAGATACGAACTTCTCCAACTTTTACAACGCTTATATTGTTATGCCGTTTTTATATAAATAGTACAAAGCTACTTGCATACTCTTTGTCCAAAATTATTGCCGCCGGCAGCAACGTAATCACCATAATTGGCGAAGTTCGATCGAAGTTTGTTATTCAAATTACGAGTACTACTGCAAAAATAGCTTTTGTAGTAATTTCAATTTTCGGTTCTAGGGAATTGATAATTTAAATGTTCAAAGTGTGAGAAAAATAAGTTAGAGTTTCGCTTAGAGCTATTAAGGAGTTTAACAACTCATCAAAGTTGCTGGCTGGCCCGGCGCATCCACCATTTTTACTTTGTGTAGTTTAAAGAAAATGTTTAATGTTTAATGGGATTGTTTTTTAAATACCTACTTTAAAGTGCACTTTGCGTTTATAAGATCTAGTTCTTGGAGCTAGTCTTGAGTGCTAAAAGGTTTAAACTTTCATTAATCACGTTGCTAATGGAAATGAGATTAAAATTGCGATTGAACTGATTTTTCGTGTAATAAGTTTAAAGCTCATTGTTTCCTTTTGTAGCTAACCTTTCAACAGTTGATTTGAAAAGGGGTTGCCACAAAAGCTTGAATATTTTAGAATGATATGGGGGCATGTGGGCGATATCCTTCCCATTTGCTACCCAAGCAATTGTACTGAAACTAAAATGATTAGGAATAATTTATCTTCAATTTTTAAAATGAAATATTAAGACAAAAATTGACGAATATCTGTTTGAGAAAGTGGGTTATAAAGTTAATCGACCTGTTTTCTGCTGTGTACTCCTGCAGACGGTCCTGGTTTTATCTAAACACGGTAAATAGGTCGTCATTTCTCAACAATATATCACACAATGCTCCCCGAAAAAGTTTCCACCTTACAGAAATGGAGTATAAAATTGAATTGTTCCTTGCAAGCCACGTACAAATATCTCCGTCTTTTTTTGGGTAATGTGGCAGATAGTATAGGCAAGATGAAACGAAATGTTGAAGGAAAACCGCGTCTGAGAAGTTTTATGTGACAACACGACAGGTAATCAACACACATATTTTTCCACAAACTAGATCATATTTTATGTTGATTTTTACACCGGTGCGGTACACAGAGAATTCCGGGTAAAAGTATATTACTAATGTTTAAACCTTTAACAAAATATACGGGGTGTTGATAAAATTTCGCAGAAAATTCTTAATTCCGTTAATTGAAGTTTCCTTGACAAATCGTAGTTCAATTTAAATGATACTTTTTGACGTAAAAATTTACTTTTGTAACCAGTCGTTTTTGCACAATGACGTCATCAACGATTTTTTTAAGTGGCTACCACAACTTTTTCTTTCGGATTCTGATTGATCTTTTTATTAGTTAAATGGTCGTGAAGTAAGTAAAGTTCAATATTTTATCCGACCATTTAACTACTTAATAAAAAGATCTATGAAAAGCCGAAATAAAAATTTTGGGTTACCATTTACAAAAACCGTTGATGACGTCAATGTGCAAAACCTCCTGGTTACCAAGAAAGAAATTTTTACGTCAAAATGTGTCATTTTCAAAAATAAAATTGGACTGTCCGTTAATGTAATTATACAGGATGCCGCATCCAAGTCTGGACATAGGGAATTAACATGCTTTTTATTTTATAATATCTCCCCAGATCACTTTAAAGCTATTATTGAGTGATGTCTTTGTGGAGGTCGAAGAGAGAGCTATCGGCCAGTATTTTTTCAAATCGTTGCATAGCGCTCATTTACTGTAAAAAGGTTTTAAAAACCGTATTTTGAAATTCGCACCCGATCCGATTTGTTGCGAAATGTTCCGTCGCACTGTTGAAGTTCGGCTGTCGCCTCTTTGGATTAATTAACCATGCAAAATCCAAATGTCAAAGTAAAATTAGAAATTATTCTTAGAAATCAACGAACAACTCAAAATGAATTATTTTATCCAGTGTGATGATTATTGTAGAACAAATTAAACGGAATAAATGCACAAATTTATCCATTTATTCGTTATAGTGCGCGACCCCGTCAGACGAGCCATCTCGAATTACACTCGTCGGCAGCATTGTGACATGTCCTGGGAGCCCGTCAAGCTAGGAATGTACTCGCGCTACCTCGCTCAGTAATCACTGAACGACTCAAATTAAATTATTTTATCCAATATGACGATTATTGTAGGTCAATTTAAACGGAATAAATGCACAAACTGCACAAAATATTTTATTAGGTTATGTTGCTGGTTCTGGTCGAGTCTTTATCTAAAATCTCATTGTTTTGGCATATACAATTTAATATTACACACCTTTGAATTTCCAAAAAATTTGTCGAAGGTCTAAAGTCCATTAAGGAATAAAATCAGCGTTCGGTCCTGGCAATGGAAACGCAAACACGTGGGGAATCACTTTTGCAAATAAATCGACTCGAAAGAAATTAGAAGGTGATCCGACAGGCGCTGATCCTAATGAAAGACTCCAAGAACAAAAGAAAATAAAGGTAGGCCTTCAAAGTTTCGAAGTGTTAAGCCGGTTGTCAATTCTTATCACATCGCCGCGCGTAGAGCAAAAAGAGGCAAAAATAAGGTACAAACAGAGCCGTACTTACTAATTTAGAGAGAGTGAACCCAAATAATGAGCACCGGAAAAGTAGAAATGGAAAAGATCACAACTACGCAAATAAGCATGCAAATGACGATTAGAAGAAGAAGTAGTTTAAACCAGAGAAACAATAAATAAATTAAAACACGAGGCCCAAAAATTCAAAAATGTAAACAAATTTCAAAAAGAAGTGGAAAATGAAATAACGAAAAGCATCATACTGAAGCAGGGGATAGTGAATGAAGTAGAAGAGACGTCGATACAAATGCGAGAATTAATCCAGAATTAGATATGGAAGAACTCAGAAGATTGGAAGGATTCAAAATAGGAGGAAATATATCAATCTTAATTAAACTCCGAACATGGAGTGTTAAAGCGAAGAACCTGGAAAAGGAAGAATTGCAAGACGTGACGAAACGTACGGTGAGCAAAATATCTCCAAGTAGTGACGGTATAAGTAAGTAATTCAGGAAGATCATTGGCACAGCAAACAAACTAAAAGAGGAGAATAAAGAAAAGATTAAAAAAGACAGCAATCGGACACAGAAAAACATTACGAATAATAACAAAAATGGAAAATGTATCAAAATGGGAACATTGAACATAAGAATGTCATTAGTAGCGGGCTAAAAGAAAGAAATAGGCAATAAAATATATAGCATAAAAATAGACATCTTAGCATTACAAGAAATAAGGTGGAAAGGAAAAAGCATATTCGATGAAGAGTTATTCGATTCTGTACCGAGGGGAAGACAAACAAGGAATGCGTGGAATCGGATTAATGGTAATTAATAAGATTAAAGAAAACGTGATGGAATTCAGAAAAATAATCGAAAGGGTGTCGTATCTATAAGGATATAAAATAGAACTGCAAATTTGTCCTAGCTGAGTGTCGACGTCAACACAGAAGTAGAAGCAGATGAGGTTAAAGAAAAATGCTGTCAGGAAGTAATAAATGAGTGCCAAAAATTTTTATGAAACGATACAGTCCTACCCGTTGGAGATTTTAATGCCAAGATAGAGAATGAAATTTTTCTAGGAACCATAGCAGGAAAGGAAACAATACACGAAAGAACAGGCGAAAATGGAGCGGGAGTTTGTAATATAGCACTAGAATTAGACGCGTTTATAGCCAGTACTAAGTTCAAATACAAGCCGGAACACAAAACAACATACATAATGCCGGAAAGAACAAAGGAAGATCAGATTAATCACGTAATAATATCACAGGAAAGATCCAAGATGATGCATGATATAAGAGGCGAAAACATGGACACAGATGAATAGAGCTAGTAATAAAATATGAATGAAAATAAACCTAGAAATGGTGAACAGAATAGAATGGGATAGCAT